GGGGGGGGGGGGGGGGCAAATCAGCAGCCAGTCCCAGCTTAGAAAAATCAACAGATTTTGCTTTCTCACAAACTAGCAACAAAACAAAAGGGGGTTGAATCTGCAGCCAATCATAACTTGTGAAAATCACCAAACCAAGACTTTCCCACAGCATTTAAGAGTAAATCTCTCTCAATTACACAAGGAAAAAAAGAAAGGGGGAAAAACATATATAAAATTCTTCCTTTTTAAAAGCAAATGTAAAACATACATAAAAGTAGTCTCCTAAAAGTGTAGAAAACTTCTTTAAAAACATTAAAACTTCCAGATTGCATGCTCATGTTTCAATCCTTCAAATCCGGTACAGCACACTTTAAAAGTCTCAGAAAATAATGAAAGTCCAACCAAGAGAAGAAATATTTCTGCTGTGGAGACAGCCTCTTTAAATTCTTTAAATAACTTACAACAAAAGTGATTTTAGAGGTGGGGTGGTTGGAAGCAGTGTCTCTTTAAGAAGCTTTAAATGCAGCACCAACAAGCTGATCCTCCCACTTCCCAGCTGATTGCTCACCGTTCGTTTATGACCTGAGTTCGATCGATAAGCTATAGCTGTCCGGAAGACACATGACGTGCTTTGATAGCTTCCCCTTGCCCGGAGAATGCTTCGTGTCTCGGAAAAAATTCCTGAGACACTGAATTAACCATGTTTAATGCTCAAGCTTCAGAGAAGCTTCTGCCCGAGGGACCTTCTGCTATTTGAACTCCACTGAAATTCCCCTCATTTAGATAAAGTTGTCTCATGGAGAAACACCAGTGTTAATCTCACCCTAGCATGCATTGTTGTCAGGCACAGAAATTTGGACATAACTCCGGACACAGGTAGAAAATGACTTTTTTACCACCATTTACTAACATTTATTATCATCATATTTGCAAACGGTCACTTACTGACATAGTTGCTAAACTAGGAGGGGCTGTAAACCATCGTCCTCAGGAATTATTCTTTCCTTCCTTTATTCTTTAAATGAGAATGTGTTAAAATGTGCTAATCCCTTTCATAACGACAGACTGACATTCTTATACCCAAAGTGCCATCTTGATATTCTCCTTCTGGCAATTGTGTCTGTGATGTTTAATAAGTCAGATAAGATACTTTAGTTGGAATCCAACATGACCTCTCAGAATCATCTCTTACCATACTTTTTCATTTTCTCTGGGAATTTAAAACAGTTTGCTCAGACTACTACGTGATTTTCAAAGCTCTTAGTAATTGTTTACAAGTAGGATTTCAGATCTTTGAGATCTTTTGTGCATCAGTTGTTGTTGTTGTTTTTGAGTACCCAACATCACAAGAACCTGTATCAAATTTAATATGCATATTCATAATGTACATGCATGCATGTACTGTAAATGAGCATATGAGTAACATCATGTCATTGGGCATAATATCAAGAATGACAATCATTCTTTAAGCAATGCCTTATCATTAACCTGATGGAGATGGTCTGTGACATCTCAAATATTTCATTATGGGGTAAAATTTAGAATGTGGTAGTCTCACAGCTCCAACTGAATCTGGATGAAACTAATTTTCTTGACCCACTTCAATCAGTATTTCACCTGGAAATGATAGTGAGACTGCTTTGATCATGTTGGTGCAGGCCAATGCCGGACCTAGATGGGGGGAATGTCAGATTTTCTTCACTTTTCAGATCAATTGACAATAATATGTTTGGAATTTCAGGGGGTGTGACAATTTTATAAACTGAGTTACAAGTTCAACTTGTTCACCTGCATTAGAAATTGGACTTCTTCATCTTCAAATCTGATATGACTTTTGTAGGGGGTGTGGACATTAATTATACATCCCCTAGGGGTGTGGGGGATAGAAAATTTTGGGAAGCACTGATCTAGAAGAATCCTCAAGTCACATGCCTATTCCTCCAGGGAGAGTGCTATCCCATCCCGAATCACCACCAAAGCTAATAGGGAAGCAGATGGTTCCTGGATAAGTAGGAGCTCCAACTTCCAAGGAATGAATATCCACTTGTTTCTTCCCATTCAATGCCTCCCAGTCTCCAGACACCAAATCAAGACTTCTACAGCATATCTGATCCATTACAGGATGGAGATATGTAGCTGAGTCTCAGAGATCTATTGAAGAGAGTTCAGATGTTTAAGCATACCAGGCTGCAACATTTAAAGCCAAGCAGGAGAAAAAGAAGGCAAGTCACATGTCCAGTTCTTCTCTACCATGCCACTTATTCAGCTTCATGAGAGCTGAAGGCAAGAAGAAGAAGGTGACTAGCAATGAGTTCTGGGGAAGCTGCAGTGCCTGCAAGGGCTCTGCTTTCATCACATGGTCTGACCCCATCCAATCTGTTGGATCCAGTTTATCAGAAAAGGAAGGGAAGGGGAGCAGGAGTGGCAGTACTGTTCCTGCTGTTGCTGTTGCTGCTGAAATAACAGCTGATTGGAGGTCACTGTAGAGAAGGAAGAGGAGGTAATATAGTAGCAGCAGACATGTCAGCTCATGCCTTACTAGATCCTTCAGTCTTTCCATGCTGCTCCTTCACCATGACCCAAACGTGGCCCAATGCCATCAGATTTGCAAAGACTGGGTTAAGGGGAAGTGTGGGATTTCCTGTACCTTCCTCTCCTGCCTTCATGGTCTGTATGGTCCTGAAGCAAGCTGTGCTTTCTCCTACACCCTGTGAACAGTATATTCTTCTCCCCTGAGAGAGACGTATGGCTGTAATGCAGAAAACAATGTGCTATGAGGTTTATGCATAATTTTCTCAAATGTTTCTGCAATTACAATAACCTGTAAGGGAGGGGGGGGACTATGTTGTCCACAGGCTTCTAGACTAAGCATCATGTTCCTGTCAAAGAAAAGTTTATTATTACGGTTGGCCGTACAGTCAGCCAGGTGTTTAAAGTGGATTTGGCATTTTTATCCACCTACTGAGTCCTTCCCAAGGATCTGGGATAGGCAGATGTCGTTGTTTGATGGTGTTAGAGGTATCATTCCTATTCCAAGTAAAGATGCCTTCATTATCATTATCATTATCATTATCATTATCATCATCCTCATCCTCATCCTCATCCTCATCCTCATCATCACTGTCATTTGGATAGGGATCAAAGAATTTCAAGGAATAGGAGGGATGACACTTAATTTGATCAAATCAAAATAATTCAAGAAAAGGGGCTTCCAATTCATTTCTACTCAATTCATTTCAGTGTACTGTACTGAAATCAGACGATGCAAATGTCTTTGCTAGTTGCCAACTGCTTTCCTGCCCTAATTTAACATTTTAACCACATTGTACCTGAGGGATCTCCTCTCCTATGATGAATTCATTTGGACATTAAGTACTCAGGAACAGCCCTACAGAGCTCCCTACTGTCAGAACCCTGCCCAGCAAGGCTGCATCACACCATAACTGTGCAACACTGCTTCCTGAATCCAGCAACTGATTAGGTTGAGGTCCCTGTTATGGTCAGATGTGATATGTGACTATATGAGGGCTTGCATATATCAACTATGAAGTTGTGACTATTTCCACAAGAAAATTCTCTCTAATGAGACTGATATAGGAATATCAAGCACATTTCTATCTGTCTACCTACCCACTTTTTAATGAGTTCTCTTGTGTTTTGTTTTCCTAGACATTGAATTAATATTTTATAGGTTTACTCATAGCCTCTTGATGATTGGCAGATATAGGAATAGAAATTATTCTGAGTGCGATTCCAGAGCTCCCTTTGGATGTGAGTCCTTTGCTACTTTTTTTTGTTAATGTTACAATGA